TTTGGCTTGTGCATTGACGACGCGAGGGTCGCTTTGGTTGAACACACATTGAACGCGAGGGTCGCTCACGTTTGGCTTGTGCATTGACGATGCGAGGGTCGCTGTTGGTTGAACACCATTGAACGCGACGGTCGCTCATGTTTGGCTTGTGCATTGACGACGCGAGGGTCGCTCACGTTTGGCTTGCTGCATTGACGACAGCGAGGGTCGCTGTTGGTTGAACACCATTGAACGCGAGGTCGCCTCACGTTGGCTTGTGCATTGATGACGCGAGGGTCGCTGTTGGTTGAACACCACCTTGAACGCAGAGGTCGCTCACGTTTGGCTTGTGCATTGACGACGCCGAGGGTCGCCTTCATTTCCAACTTGGTGACGCGCGGGGATGACATCCGCGTTTCAGAGGATTAGTTGATTTGTAACTTCTTCTGTATGTGCGTTGCAAGGACCGTCGTTCAGTAATCCTAGCTTTAGCTGTTGTGGAGTGTGAAAGCCGTCAGATTAAAACTTTCACTGCAGATTGTGAAGACTGCTGAATAGAGTTTTCATCAGTTGTCGGAAGTGCGTTGAAATGTTACCCTTCTAGATCTATGTGAAAAAGTCCTCTATTGCCGCTTTTCGATCACCGACCCGAAAGCTATTTGATTGTAGCTTTCGTTGTTGAAGCTAGACGGGAATCAACATCCATAGTGTCTTGAAGCGAATTATTGCCCATAGCTCTCTACCAAGAACTCACCAACTGAGTCCAACCTTTTATTTCTGAAATCATCACACTGCTCATAGCCATCTCTAATAGTTGCTATGATATTAGCCATGCTGTTGTCACAGCCATCAAGATCAATCATCTCAGAAGTGAGGTCGCTTGTGGCAATTGTTGAGTTGTGGATGCAGTGAATTGGGGGAAAGTCGTCTGATGTGATTGTGACCTCCGTTGTCGGAGCTTGTTTGAATAAGCTATCTATTGTGATTTTTAGACAGCCTACAAAAATCTCCTGCAATCTATTTCTTAACATTGTAAAAAACTTATCAACATTCCACTCGCGCAAACACCCGTCATACATATGCTTCATTCTCAAGATTTTCAGAGTATGACAGAGTGTCAATTTATGTGTCAATTGCAGTGAATACATTCATTTGTTTTCTTATCGACATTCCTTTGTTTTCTTATCTGGCCTTGGTATATAAATTTCAGATATGCTACACTATACATAGAACTGCATCTTGAACATTTGCTTGTCTTTTTTCCATTGATAATCTATTTTCAAGGCACAAATTTGCAGGTGATATAATGGCAAGAAAGAGTTTTTATGTTGTAAAGAGAGGTCGACGTTGTGGTATTTTTTATAATTGGGAGGAATGCTTTTCTCAAGTTGATAGATTCCCAAATGCCTCCTACAAAGGGTATGCAACGTATGAAGAGGCTTTGAGTGAATGGGAGAAGCACTTAAGCGCGCGTGATTCATCATCCAGCTCAAGCCATGTGCAGCCACATGTTTGTGTTCAAGAACAAATGATTCCAGAGGGGCATAATTTTCTTGAGGACAAGAGAACACCTAGGGAAACTGCTATTAAGTACATCTTTGCTTTTGTATTAGGTTCAGCGTTTACAATTTTAATATTTCTAGTATGTATCGTTGTAGTATTTGTTGGTTTATCTATTAGGGGAAACATGTGATGTTATTCGTGTATGATTCTTCAATGTGAGGATAAGCTTGCACAACTTGGGTCATTTTGTATCATGATTTGAGCGCAGTTTCTACTCAATTTGTACTCAATTTGTGGTCAGTTTGTATCATGATTTATGCTCAATTTGTTTGCGCAGTTTCTACTCAATTTGTACTCAATTTGTGGTCAGTTTGTATCATGATTTATGCTCAATTTGTTTGCTGCTGTGGTATATAATGCAAAGTTGTAAACAATCAAGTAACTAGCTGTAGGCTTCCTGTGCTTGTACTCATTATTCATATAAAAATGTTTAATATTTTTTCAAAATTTGTTACTAGGCAGCAGCTTTGGTTTACCAACAAAATCAAGCTAGCTCTTTTCAGATGATATCTAAATTATTCTCAAAAGGCTATCTAGGCAATTTAATACATGCCAAAATATTCTATATCAGCTTTGACAGATTTCTCACTTGAGTAGCTTGCAGTGCCCTAGTTGCGGTAGGAACCTTTACTTGCATATATAAAAGAGAGACTCTTAATCAGGAATAACAACTAAGCTTGAAAAAAATTAGTAAGATACCAATACTAGGCCCCAGACTCAACCAGCTACAAACTCATACAACTATAAATATCAGCTACAAACAGCAAGAAAAAAAAGAAGATACACATTCTCCCCTTCTCCTCACAAAATGCAAACAACCTTAAGCATCACTCCAAGCAGCAAACATAGGCATATGAGCCATAGAGATCGCAGTCCTAATCTGTGTCGAAGGCATCCAGAAAATAAACATGTAATAACTGAGCAAGTTCTAAATTCATTACACAACACCATTCAGTATTGGAATTGCTTTAATACTTAGGGCCAGCATTCCCCACATCTGTATTCAAAACCGAAATCAACATTTGGAAGCATAATCAAAGTGCTCAACAAACAAAATGCACTTCATACCCAGCTTGCAGATATCGATGATTGCTCTTACCTACAAAAAAGAAAATAGAACGTCAAGACAGTAGGATAACTAACTCAATATGCTATTATGACTGTCGAAGGGCAAGTTCAAAATAGGACAACTGCAAAAAATGATATAGGCCAATTCTATATTTGGAAAATACTAAACAAATAAGAAATTTTACCTTGGCAAATTGACTTTACAGCTAGTTCTATAATGCCCGAGTTCACCACATCTGCTACATATACGCTTCTTCCTCTCTCTTTTTTCTTGTGCAAGTTCTAAGCCTGACTGAATTCTAGTAGCATTGCGTGGCCGACCTTTAGTCCTTGCAGATTTTTCAGGATCACGAACTGTAATCTGAGGAATGTGCTCCATTGTATGTGAAATGGGTGCGGAAATCTGAGGATTATCTTCTGTTTCTGTTTCTCTAACTTCTTCTTCAAGTGATTCTATGAATTTTGTTAACACATTATCTAATTTCTGCATCCTTTCTTCTGAATCAAATGCAAGCTCGAGCGCATTATTGAAGTTTGCTCTTAAAGCCCAAGATTTCAACAAATTAATCTTCTCTTCACAGCTTGTGAGGTTTCTTCTAAATACAATATTGCCAACCCCAATGTTACGATGTCGAGCATGTATAGTCCAACGGTGTAAGATGTAATGGTCGGGTAATGAAGAAATTTGGCTAGCCATCATTAGCGACAATATATGTCTACATACAACACCATTAGTTTCAAACAAAGCACAAGAACAAATGAATTGCATCTTACTGGATTCTTCATAAGTAACCACCTCCCATTTTTCTCTATCTGCAAACTTACAAATCTTGTATTCAATAATATCCCCATCTTTGCTCAATTCTTCACAAAACTCTGTACCAAATCCTTTGAATTCAGTTTGGAACACATCAAACATGTTGCGTGTATACATTTCTCCAGCTTGGACCTCAATCGGATGTCCAAGGAGCATGACAGGCTTTGTGTTAAGACTCTTAAAATCTTCATGAGCTTCACTTAAGCGACGATGAGTTAATGCTTTTTCATATTGTAATACAAACTCGTGTAATTGAGTCTGTGAGTTAACATACCCATCAAAAAATGCATTAATACTTTCACTTCTTTGGCTCGATCTCATTCCAGCAAAAAAAGTGTCCTTCAAACAACATGACACCCAATGATCTCGATATTTGTAAACAGTTTGCAACCATCCATCCCCTTCTTCATTTATATCAAACTTCTCCTTCATCTCTAGCCAATATCCTTCACACTGTTCAATTGAAGAACTATTACACCATAAGCCCCAATACCTTTGAAACTGTTACCATAACGAGAAACCAAAGTAGGCAAATGATTAGTAATGTGCTTTTGCATGAGCCAAAAGCAATAACGATGTCTTGTCATTGGAAACACAGAGTGAATAGCATTACACATGGCTCTATCCTGATCTGTTATAATAGCACCTGGTTCAACCCCATGCATGCATTTCAGCCATTCTTGAAATAACCACACAAAGGTATCTTCTTGTTCATTGGTTCAACCCCATGCATGCATTTCAGCCATTCTTGAAATAACCACACAAAGGTATCTTCTTGTTCATCATCTAATAATGCACAACCAAGTAAAGTGGACTGTCTATGATGATTCACACCAGTAAATGGAGTAAATGGAAGACTGGACTTATTAGTTCTGTATGTCACATCAAACACAACAACATTACTAAATTGTAAATAAGACGCTCTTGATCTTCCGTCAGCCCAGAAAACACTCCTCATTTGTCCACTACTGTCCACTTCTATTGCAAAATAGAATTCTGGATCATTCGCTGTCAAACTCTAAAAATGTTTTATGATAGATATGTATTCATGGCCAATATTCTTGACTCTCTGGTATCTAATGTGATCAATACACTGTTGTGGTGTCACTAATTCGCCTTCTCTTCCAGTGGTTGCGTTAATGACGCGAGAAATAATGGATGGAGGCATACCTTCTTCTTGCAGACTCTCAATAAGTTTTTCACAACTTTGAGATTTATGGAATTGTTGGTGTGATATGTGCATCTTTGCTTTGTTTGGACTACTCAACACATGATTTGTATGTTCTTCAACAAACCCCGTGACCTCCCACGATTTGTCCTCCAATACTTTAACTCTCATCATTACCTTACATCCCACTCGGGTCTCTCGCCGAAAAGGCATCTCCATCTTGTCTCTATTAGATCTATATCCCTCCTTATCACAAACAAACTTTCTATCCAGCACGTCTCTTGTCTTCTTCGAGTAATTTACCGTGCTCTTCCTTATTCCAAAACCCATCAACAATGCGTAATGGTTATAATAGTTATAAGCTTCTTCATAAGTATTAAATTTCATTCCGAGTAGTGGCTTAGGAGCATTTTCTGTACTGGCAGAAATTTCAATTCCACTAGCACTTGATTCTCCCATTTCGAACACTTTTTTTGCTGTAAAACAAATGCAAAGAAGAAAAAATTGAAAAAAAAGCCATAAGCGTAATAACACAGCATGGATTCATCAAGAAACAATATAAAATACCCAAATATAATACTTCAGTTTAAACTAATCAAGGGCTTTGTTTAAATTGTTTGACAATACTTTAACTCTCATTTCAGTTTAAATTGTTTGACAACTTTGACCATCAGTGAGTCATGCTGCATTCTGACATATTATTAAGTAGGTCAGTCACTGAGAGGCGATAATGTATATGAACTGGTTGCAGCGACGCATAAATGTAACATATATGCAAGAACTAAACTATAAGCTATGGAATAATTCATTGACTGATCGACAACTTGGAAGCTGAAATCAGCAAACAACAAGCAACAACAAGCAATAAAGAAACCAGCAAGTAAGAAGCTGAAATCGATTTCGTGGCAATATAATCCAAGCTCAACACCAAACCCCTAAGAACTCAACCGTTCCCTTTTAGATACCTATGACAACTTGGATAAAGGCAGCCTAAAAAATTAGAAATTTTGGGAAACCTATTGCATTTTCCTGATTTAGTGTTTTAGGAGAAAGACTTGGAACTAAACTGGAAAAAATATCTAGTGAAGACTTCCCCATCTTCCAAAACGAACTCTTGACTAGTCTGGCTTTTACACTTTTAGTGGAAATCAAAGGTCAGAAGGGATTGCGGGAGTCGTCATAAATCATGTTTTATTGCTGAAAGAGAATGTTGTTTCAATATTTTGGTTTATCATCTTGTACCAAAGCAAATCAAATGAATTGTAATGTGCTTAGACGTTCTAATACCTTACAAAGTCCTAGCAAAAATCCTAGCCATTCACCATCTTAGGACTAAGATTTGACCCAAAATTTGTGGATTTAAGAAGAAGAGAGCTAGGATTTTGGAGAGGGAAATGGGGGAGGCGGGATAATACATCTGAGAGGGAAATGGAGGAGGAGGTGTTTCGTTTCGCTCGGTCTGGGGTCACGAGCGACGGAGAAGGCTCTGTGCGCTGCTCGGTGTGGGGTCATGAGCACCGGACGTCGATCTCGTGGCGGTGCTGCTGGCGATCGAGTTGGGAGGAAGATCTGAGAGGGGACGTCGATCTCGAGCGAGGCTTCTCTTGTTGGTGGCGATCGAGTTCTCGTGGCGGTGCTACTGGCGATCGAGTTGGGAGGAAGATCTGAGAGGGGACGTCGATCTCGAGCGAGGCTTCTCTTGTTGGTGGCGATCGAGTTCTCGTGGCGGTGCTGCTGGCGATCGAGCGCTTCGTGGTCGGGGATATGAGAGTGATCGACATTGGGAGGAAGAGGGATCTGAGAATTGGGGGAAGGAGTTTTGATTTTTTGGGGAGAAGGAGAACTGGCCAGTTGGGTTTGATTTTTTGGGGAGAAGGAGAATGGCCAGCGGGGGGTTTTGATTTTTTTCCCTTGAGATCCGTGATGTTTTTTAAAAAAAACCCAGGCACGCACCAGTAGGGAACTGGCCAGCGCGTCCTACAGTTTTCTTATAATAATATATATATATATATATATATATATATATATTATATATATATTATATATATATATATATATATATATAATATATATAGTATATATATAATACTATGTTTTCAAGTGAAATAATCTGAGTTTCAAGTTAAATCATGAGAGTTTCATGTTAAATGTACATTTGAACATCTTTCAAGAAAAAGGTTGGTGATTCTATAGAATAGACCAATTGCCATTATTGGGGCATACTGTGAATTTAAGAAGTGTCTTGCTCCAAAAATATGTCAATGGCAAAGGGATGCATATGATGGATCCATATTTATACATTATATTCTATTTGATGCTCATGCACTTGATCGTCCAACACTTGTGCTGGTGCTTAGTTATTATAAAACTGAGAAAAAAATAAAATTGTTAATTTTGACTTGGATTGGGTCCATAATCATTTTTCCAATTAACAGAAAAATTATTCAAACCAATCGGGACCCCAAAAGCAGAATATGGCTGGAATATTTTGCTAAATTGTTCAAAAATGAAGAGGGGGAGAAGGAACCAAAAAGAAGAACACCAAGCAACATTCGAATATATGTTGAAGATCTACTAGAAAGTCTTGTAGATTCAAAGAATAAGAAGGATATACAAGACTTTGTTCTGCTACAAATTTACCAATGCTCAATGATATGGTGCTCCAAAAGCGTGCAAGGCATCCTTAGATTATTATTTAAGTATATGGATAGCATTGAAACGGTGAACAAAGTTGCATGGGGGAAATTCATTTATATAGAAACTATTAGAGACATTAAAATTGCTTTGGAGGGTTTGAAAAAGCCAGAGATTACATATATCCTTGGATACATGTCAGTAATACCCGTAAGTTCCATGTTAAGTCTATTTCATTTCCTATTAAATGTATGCTACTTACTATGAAGTGTTAGGCTTTTCATGTTAAGTCTAATTAGATTCATGTGAAGTATAATTTAGTTCATGTTGATCCTAAATCATTTAATGTTATGTGTAAGTTATTTCTTGTTAATTATAAGTTGTTACTATTATTTTGAATATGTTCTATTTCTAATTGTTTTAATGGTGAACATGGTCAATTTATAATTGTTAGAATGGTGTTGTATTTTTTACAACTTTGCTATTACAAGATCACTGGCATAAAAACATATGCCATTAGCGACAGATTCAAGCCTCCAATGACAAATTGGGTAGTAGAGGGTGAGAAAATAGTCTCTTTGAGGAAGGGGACACTTGCAGCAAAGGTAGAAAAAGCTTCAATAATTTTAGTTGAGAAGCCTATTGTCCGACGTGAAGCTCTGGAGGAATGTCCGACGTATCATGTATCACATTGGAAAGAACATACAGGCACATCCGAAGGCGGTTCATCCAATAAGCAAAGCAGAATCCCTGTGAAGGTTCTTCGATATTTTCTAATTATTCCTAGGCTGCAGAGGTTTTTTATGTCTGCCGAGCTGGCTGAGAATATGCGATGACATTCGACTGACCGTAAAGAGGACGGGAAACTGAGACATCCGGCTGACGATGAGGCATGGAAGCACATCAATCGTATATATCCCAACTTTGGTAAGGAGTCTCGGAATATTAGGTTGGGGCTTGTTAGTGACGGATTTAATCCATTTGGATTAATGGGTTCCACTTGGTCTACCTGGCCAGTGTTGCTGACACCGTACAACCTACCGTCGTCGATGTGCATGAAGCAGCCGTACATGATACTGTCACTCTTGATCCCTGGAAGATATTCTCCTAAAAATGACATCGACGTTTTCCTCCAACCATTAATTGACGACCTGAAGCTTCTCTGGGAAGAAGGTGTCAACACTTATGATGCTTATGGTAAGGAGTCTTTCTGTATGCGGGCAATGGTCATGTGGACAATTAATGACTTCCCGGCATACGCTAACCTATCTGGATGGTCGACGAAGGGTCAGATTGCTTGTCCAGTTTGCATGTCAAACTTTAAGGAAAAGTTTCTGAAATACAACCATAAGTTCTGTTATTGGCAACACAGAAGATAGTTGCATACAGGGCACAAGTTCAGAAAGTTAATAGAAAAGTTCGACGACAATCCATAAAATAGACCGGCACCACCAAGGTTGACCGGGGAAGAAATATTTGAGCTTCTACATCCACTACCTAGAAAAATATTTAGAAAGAAAAGATTCAACAAAGAAAATCTATTTGGGGTTAGGAGAAAAAATATTGAAGCAAAATTAGAAGGGAAAGGGA